TTGTTTATACTACATTGTGTGGACAAAATGTCCCCACAAGGATAGTAAAACCTGACATTTTTGACAGTGTGGACTGGCTTGCGGTCCCTACGAGGGGAAAAAAATATTAAAAATAGTAAATGATGTTTATCTGACAGTGTAACAATGCAAACAGGTTTTATGTAAGGGTTAGGGGATAGAAAATATTGTTTGGTCAGTATAAAAGTAATAGAAGTCTATGGAAAGTCCCCACAATTCACAGAAACAAATGTGTGTGTGTGTGTACATATAAATATATATTAATATAAATAATAAATGAATACGTACACGCAGTATATGTATTTATTTATTATTACCTAAGACCATAATACTTTTTGTTCGTATAATAAAAAAGATAGATTTGTTTCTAAAATGGTTACAATACATTGTCCTTCTGTTGAATGTACTATTGTTTAAAAAGCACACTGTATTTGTACACCGTATGCAAATATGGCATCAGCATTAGCTAAATGCGCCGCTGTCAACGGAGCGCGTTTATAACGGCCGTACAGTACGTCGCCGCCAACCGAGGCCTTGCTGGAATCCACATTAATAATAAACCGAAAAGAGCAAATAAACAAAAAAGATGCAAATCTCTTTCATTTTGTGGCCCTGCATGTATCTGCTTCATTTGTTCCCAGTAAATCCTTGAACATCGCCTGATGCATGAGCAATTAAATTTTTCCCCTGAAAGAATCCGCAGAAGATCAGTGTCTCTCGGCATTACTTAAAAAAAATAAGGAAAGAAAGAAAGCGAGATGAAACAGAGGAAACATCTCCCCTCTAATGAGTCGATCCAGTGTTTGAACAATAGATACGGGCGACATTTCACTAACCAAAACCAGGAACGTCTTGATGCTTTGCTTCCTCACTGGGATCACCAGGACATAGACGGATGTTGTAGGCTGTTTTGTTTGCATCGGTCTTCAGGTGGTATTCGAGGAAACTTGAGATCTTGTAGATTTGTCATGCAGTAAACGCTGGGAAAGAGAGGAAAAGAATATACAATATGGTCATAAAACTCTTTTTTTCATGTGTTCTTTTCTTTTGAAGTCGTTTGATGTAGTATATGTAGAGATTCTGTACTGTACTCTAATGATCACAATGCAAAGCTGCCTTCCCAGTCTACTCGGATCATTCATTCAAAATATACAGCAAAAAATGGTTTTATACAGAAATGTCAATAATAAAATTTTCATTTAATATTCTGATATCAAAATTTTCAGTTTAATATCAGAAATATATGAAGAGTTTATTTGCAAAAATCAATAAACGCCACTTTAAAAAAAAGAAAGCTGATTGCCGTGCATTATTCTCCACATATAGCGCGATCTGAACCCTAAACACATTTTAAAAAGCCGGTTTTGTCCACTTTCAAGGCATTGCGAGTTCACGTTTTACTGCAGAAGCCGACAAGTGCCCTTGTTGTTTTTGAACAGAAGCCGATAAGTCAATTTTAGCGAATCAGCTCGATTTCCGTATGAAATTACGGGCTAGCTGAGAGGAGTTTCGTCAAAGCTGACTAAAAGTGAACGAGGATGGATAATTTCAACGAACTTGATGAACCTGTGATATCTTCAGGGTGAAAAAGGAAAATAAAAGCTGAAGCGTTTTCACGGAACCTTGCGAAAGCAGCGCGTTACAATGGTGAGGGAAAAGCTCAGTGTATTGCGTGTAATCACATCCATACAGTTTATGATCACAACAACAACATGCATCTACATTGTCATCTGAGGAGATTACAAAGATTTAGTCTCGCGTAGCCAGACCTTCAGACTGACGGCTGAAGGTCTGGAATCCATGGCCGCTTTCATTGGCCAAGGCCCACCCATGAGGCCGTTTGACTGACATGTGAAACAACCAATCACAGTTAGTTTCGTTCATCGTCACGTTTCAGGGCGTGGAAATGTCGCCACAATAACAGACCGGTGTGTAAAACTCTCGGACGTATTTTAAAGATTCTATGACGCAAACTTTACATTTTTCACATACTTTTGAAAATCCAGCGTTTAGTTGATCCTGATAAGCGCTCGTCATCACAGTTATAAACATGGCGGCTTTCTTCTTTCGTGAGGGGGTTTGGTGTCACGGCATCTTTGTTTCCAGGCGGAACGTTAAAGAACGCGACACGCACATCTCCCGGAAATCCTGTATAATTCAACCAATCCGATGACGACTTCGAAACTCCTGAAGTGTTTCCACTTTTGTGTGCCGTATGCATCAGACGTTCAGCCAATGGTCCGTGGGCGTGACGTCTGAGGCTGAGACTAACAAAAATTAAACTAGTGTTTTTTTTAAACTCTAAAACATAAAATGTAGAGTTATCTGCTTTTGCTATAAAACTATTTTTTAATATGTAAAAAAAAAAATACTTTCAGTGAACTTTAATTTTGTAAATTACCTGTATTTAAGTTATTATTACTTAATCAAAACAACCCAACTGCAGTTTGATTGATATTACTTGGAATGCGCAATAAAAAAAAAAACGTGATTTCTGAAGAAAAAAAAAATCGGAGTTATCGGTTTTTGCAAATGAACTCTTCATATATTTAAAGGGGTCATATGATGCCATTTCAAGTTTTCCTTTCTCTTTGGAGTGTTACAAGCTCTTGGTGTGCATAAAGAAGATCTGTAAAGTTGCAAAGACTAAAGTCCCAAATCCAAAGAGATATTCTTTATAAAAGTTAAGAGTCAGCCATGCCTACCTAAAACGGCTCGTTCTAATACGCCCCCACATACATCACTATGTGAAAATATTAGCATAATGCCGCCCAAACGTGCACGCAAGGAAAGAAGGCGTGGTTTCAGGAACAGTAGTAGTGTTGATGCAGCCATGTCAGGGAGACGCTGTGTGATTCAGTGCGAAAGCACTTTATTTGGCCTTCCGGAAGTAGATGCAATTAGGAATCATTGGTTAAGATTTATTTACAACAGAACAGCACAACCCAGATGTTCGAATCCGTTCAACGCATTTTATGGACGACAGTTTTTTTGAACCTAGGAGAATACAAGGCTGGCTGTGCACAAAGGCTATTTCTAAAAAAAAAAAAAAGGGTCAATTCCGACTTTGCTATGAAAATCTGGCGCGTCAAAGGAGTATGTTGATCAGAAATCTTAAGTTCTGCAGACTGAAATCTAAAAGAATGGCTCCTAAAGTGTCTCAAGTGGTGTTTGCCCAGCTAGTGTACAACTCTGAATATGCAACCTGGACAGAAAAGAGAGAACACTTTTATGGGGAATAAAAACACTCAAGACACTCACTCTACAGTAGTCAACATTTGAAGTGGATCAAAAAAGTTCTTCAAAGTTTTCCTAAGACAAGAACGCATTTTGGTTTTAGTTTTAGGACAACTTTGATAAAAGGATTTGATCCACTTCAAATGTTGACTAGTGTGTGTATGTATGTATGTAAATATATATATATATATATATATTAGGGGTGTAACAGGTGTACACAAATATGACGGTTTGGTACGTACCTCGTTTTTAACGTCACGGTTCGGTATGATTTCGGTACAGCAGGGGGAAAAACTTTTTTTTTTAAATGGTTTACTGAACAAGTTGCTCTTTCTTTAAATAAAAACAAACAAAAGAGCAATAATATGCAAGTGCTATGATATGTATTTCTATTATCTTACATAATTTAATATTCAAATTGAAGCAAATACAATTTACATATTTTCCTTTAAATCTTAAATGTTTATTTAAACATTAACCTTTTAAATATTTTAAACATTTTAAAGTAAAAATACATTGTGTATTTTAATATTTTTTATATTTTTTATTTTTCTGATATTTCCTCTTTAATATTTATTTCATATTTAATAAAAAAAATGAAATAGTTTAATATTTTATTATATTTTAATGTCACATTTAATTTCATAATTTAATATTTGCTTAAATTGTTTTCGAATATTTACATTCAAAATATTAAAAAATGTAATGTTTTAATACGTATTTAACCATTTAATATTTAATTTCAGAATTTAATGTTTACTTAAATTCTTTTCAACTACTTACATTCAAAATATTTGAAAATATAATGAAATGATTTTAATAAATATTTCAGCCATTTAAATTTGTATTATAATAATATTTGTGTTTTATATTTATATTATATTTTAATGTTCAATTTATAAATTTTTTATATTTCATTTAATAATTTAATTAATATATTTACTATATTAAATACTTTTCAAATATTTAAACTGACTCAGAATATTTGAAGATGTAATGATAATGAACTAAAATCTGTTGGTTGATATTGAAAATGGGACTAGGCAGGTTAACCACTTCTGTGAACTGTCCAGTTTCAGATAGATATCAGCCAGTTACAATCAAATATCAGCCGACTCGTGAAGTACAGTAACAGAAACAGCTTGTTTAATTCAAAGGGTTGTAAAACGGTCATTTTTTTAGTTGACGGTTATTCTGAGTGCACGTCTGGGCAGAGCGAGGAATTAAAAATGAAGAGCTACAAAAGTGTATATTATGGATCTTTGTAATGTCGTGTTGCTGCATTGATTAGGACTCAAGTGGCCCATATTTTCAACGACAACATGCTGAGCTCAGGATGCTGGGTAAATTTCATTTAAGGGAGCAGCTTGATTGATTCAAGGCCTGTATTAGTTGGTTATTGGGGTCTTAAATGAATGGCCGTTTTAAATAAACCCCTGTACGTCGCAGCAGGGCTCCACACGCCTCTGCTTCAGGATTGAGTATTTCCATGCCGTCGGCTGCCAGCACGAAATTAGTTGTTGAGTTCAGGTGTGCAGGAAATTATATTGAGCAATGTGCACTGGCTAGAAAGCCCTGCTTTCACAATATTGCCTGGATCAATACGTGCCTTTCTGGACATCGGTTTAGGGAAGAAATTAAAAACATGATGCAGAGGGTAATTATTCAGAGACAACTGATTTTGGTGTTTGGGTTGGTCATTGTAAGTTCAATGTGCTTCATTAGTTTTCATTTCTGTTTTGCAGGTGCATGATTGCAGATGAGGTAAGAGCGTTTTGCTTTTCTTGACTCTAATTCGATTGGGTTTTTATAGAGTCCACTAATCACTGACCATTTGTGTCATCAGATGGGTTTGGGAAAGACGATCCAGGCCATTTCAGTGGCATATATCTTCAAACAAGAATGGCCTCTGCTGATTGTGGTGCCTTCATCTCTGAAATACCTTTGGATTGAAGAGCTGGAGAAGTGGATTCCCGAACTCGACCCCAGAGACATCAACTTGGTCGAAAGCAAGACCGATACAATGTATGACAAATTTAAGTTTAATAGAGCATAACACTTGGGTTCAGGAAGTGAACAAGTGAAAAACCGCATTGATTTTCTCCAAATTGAAATGGATTTTTAGAGTTAACATCTTAGGTAATGATATTTAGACCTAAATAACTCGATATGTAATATTTGAAAACTATATCTTTACATATTGCTTTCATAAAAATCACACGTATGTTGCAGAGACATTTTTGAAAGAGCACAACATTTTGAAAACATTGCATAATATTTGCAGAATTTTTAAATGAAAAATGTTAATATTATTTTCATATATATATTTTTTTTTATATATTATAGTTTTTAAAATATATATGTTTTATATATTTATATTTATTATTATTATATATAAATGCTTTTTGTTTATGTTTTAAATATTGTTAAATGTTTTTGGTAAATTATTATTGCTAAATTAATAAAAATACATGTAAAATATAATTTTCATATATATATTTAGTAGTAGTAGTAGTAGTATTTAAATGATTATTTATTCAAAGACATAACTGCCAAAATGTTTGCATATTATTTTCATAATAATAATAAAAAGTTGCAGAGACATTTTTTTAAAGAGCACACTATCTGGAAAACATTACATAATATTTGTATAATATTTTAATATATAAATTATAATTTTTTAAAATACATATAAATGCTTTTTTTGTTGCTTTTTTATATATATTCATTTATTCAAAATAAGTTATTGTCACAATATTTGCACATTGCTTTCCTAATATCATAATTCCAGTACACACAATGTGTTGCAGAGACATTTTTGGGAGAGCAGACCATCTGGAAAACATTGCATGCTATTTCACGCGTCATATTTATGTCCAAACATCCACTAAGCATCTTAAAAATGACCATGCAATCTAAATATTAAATGTCACATAAACATCTGAATGCTGTTCAAGCGGAGAAAGTTTAATGACGTGTAAATTGTAGCTAGATTTTGACACACACCAACTGGGCATCTTAGTAATCGATCGTTTAAGTTTGTTTTGCAGTCCCTGAACAAAAAAAAAAGAGGGACATCGGTTCGTAATTCATTGCGATCCAGTGGACCGTACTGGAGGACGTCTGCACTGGTGGCCAAGAGATTTTTTGCTCAAAATGAAACATTGATTCTTTCAGACTGCGTGTGAGTTTAATCATAGTGGCAAAATTGATTCATGAAATTTATGACTGAGTATGACTTTGCAGAAGCCTCCGGAAAAGTTGGGAAGAAATCTCTTGATTTATAAAATTTTTTCCCCCCTCTTTGTGTCACACTTTTATGAGTAGCTTTAGAAGTTATGAAAACCGTTCTTGCAGATTTTCAGCCTGTAGAAATACAAAACTGAAGTAAAATCTCCTGTTCACCGACTACAAAATTACACCACAATACAAATTACACGGCAGACGTATGAAATCAAATCACCTCCCCAGAGAGATATTAAACAAATCCTAAATTAGCTCACCTTTTATGGCTACGAATCTCACACAAAGAATACTTTAGCTCTGTCTTAGGAGTGGGAGAGAGTTTATGAGAGGATGCTGGGATTGATTGTACAGCCCATGCAGTCAGAGGGTCATGTTGTCTTTTTGCCTGTTATTGATGCTTCTAAAAAGAGGCTCACAAATTGCTCTGTTTACCCTGAGAATTCTGGCCCGGGGTTGAGTCGACCTGTAAAGTCGTTGCCATGGCAACATCTCCCTCCGAGCTTGATAAAGGCCTGTCAGCATGGTGAATGATATTTTAACTCTAATGGCTCATAGTGCAAAGCAGGAACAAACATCATTTCCTCTCAGTGTACGGTTGGCATCTTTACACAGTATGTAAAAAAAACGTAAAATGCTTTTATGACCTTGTGGCTCCAATGAAAACGCTAATAATATAAACTGTTGTGAATCTATCTACAGTGTACACTGTTTCTGTTGTGATGGATTTGTACGTTTGCATCTCGTGATTTAAAAATTGCATTTTAAAAATTAAAAATTAGTTTTAGACTAAATGTAATGTTAAATGCTAAGCGCAACTAAATCTATAATGGTTTAATTTTATTTTCGACATCTGTCGACAGCCTCTACACCTCATTTCAGTAGAATTTTTAAGCATTTTCAACTCAGTTTTTAGTAAAAAGATAAATTTTTTCCAAACGACATGGAAGTGGTGTGACCAAAAATTGTTTTTGTTTCTTTCGTGAAAGTTTAGCTTAGCTTATCTTAGCTCGTGGTTTCGTATAGTGTGTATGAAAATAAATTCAGTAAAACCTAAAAATTATTAAATGATTTTACCAACTTGTGGCTCCAATAAATACACTAATAATATAAACTGATATAAATATATTTAAGTTTAGACAGTTTCTTTTGTGATGGATTTGTAAGTTTGTACGTCGTGATTAAATTTTTTTAGTTTTTAGACAAAATGTAACGTTAAATGCCAAGCGCAACTAACTCTGTAATAGTTTATAGTTGTTTTCGACGTTTGTTGTTTACGTCAAAGCCTTTACACCTCATTTCAATGGTATTTTGATGCATTTTCAACTCAGTTTTTAGAAGAACCTAGATTTTCACGAATGTTATGTTGCGTGAAATTCGTAAAATGCTTTTCTGGTCTTGTGGCTCCAATGAAAACACTAATAATATAAACTATTATAAATGTATCTAAGTGTACACAGTTTCTGTTTTGACACGTTTGTAAGTCATGACCCAAAATTATATTTGTTTTAGACAAAAAAAGTAATGATAATTAGTAATGCATTCGAATTTGAAGAGAATATTCAGGATTGGACTTGATTGAATCTGTCCAAACTTGAACTATAATATTGTTGGTTAAAGAGACCTCAAAATGCAATTGCTGTCATCATTTACTCCCCCCTAACCTCTAGGAGTTTCTTTTTTCTGTTGAACACAAAATAAAATATTCTGAAACATTTTGTGAAACAAACTTGTTGCCGGTAGCTACTGACTTCCATAGAATGGGAAAAAAATAATATGGAAGTCAGTGGCTACCAACCAGCAACTGTTTAGTGAGTAAATGATGACAATTTTCATTTTTGGGTGAACTATTACTTTAATGTTGTATTTTTCCTGGCATCTTTACACAGTATGTAAAAAAACGTAAAATGCTTTTATGACCTTGTGGCTCCAATGAAAACGCTAATAATATAAACTGTTGTGAATCTATCTACAGTGTACACCGTTTCTGTTGTGATGGATTTGTAAGTTTGCATCTCGTGATTAAAAATTGCATTTTAAAAATTTAAAATTAGTTTTAGACTAAATGTAATGTTAAATGCTAAGCGCAACTAAATCTATAATGGTTTAATTTTATTTTCGACATCTGTCGACAGCCTCTACACCTCATTTCAGTAGAATTTTTAAGCATTTTCAACTCCGTTTTTAGTGGAAAGCTAAATTTTTTCCAAACGACATGGAAGTGGTGTGACCAAAAATAGTTTTTGTTTCTTGCGTGAAAGTTTAGCTTAGCTTATCTTAGCTCGTGGTTTCGTATAGTGTGTATGAAAATAAATTCAGTAAAACCTAAAAATTATTAAATGATTTTACCACCTTGTGGCTCCAATAAATACACTAATAATATAAACTGATATAAATACATTTAAGTTTAGACAGTTTCTTTTGTGATGGATTTGTAAGTTTGTACGTCGTGATTCAATTTTTTTAGTTTTTAGACAATGTAACGTTAAATGCCAAGCGCAACTAACTCTGTAATAGTTTATAGTTGTTTTCGACGTTTGTTGTTTACGTCAAAGCCTTTACACCTCATTTCAATGGTATTTTGATGCATTTTCAACTCAGTTTTTAGAAGAACCTAGATTTTCACGAATGTTATGTTGCGTGAAATTCGTAAAATGCTTTTATGGTCTTGTGGCTCCAATGAAAACACTAATAATATAAACTATTATAAATGTATCTAAGTGTACACAGTTTCTGTTTTGACACGTTTGTAAGTCATGACCCAAAATTATATTTGTTTTAGACAAAAAAAGTAATAATAATTAGTAATGCATTCGAATTTGAAGAGAATATTCAGGATTGGACTTGATTGAATCTGTTCAAACTTGAACTATAATATTGTTGGTTAAAGAGACCTCAAAATGCAATTGCTGTCATCATTTACTCCCCCCTAACCTCTAGGAGTTTCTTTTTTCTGTTGAACACAAAATAAGATATTCTGAAACATTTTGTGAAACAAACTTGTTGCCGGTAGCTACTGACTTCCATAGAATGGGAAAAAAATACTATGGAAGTCAGTGGCTACCAACCAGCAACTGTTTAGTGAGTAAATGATGACAATTTTCATTTTTGGGTGAACTATTACTTTAATGTTGTATTTTTCCACATCCATCGCCTTAGTTACATAAGCAGAAATGTTTTTGTGGTGGACAGTGGACATTTTGTTATTTTTTAGCATTGACTTTAGCATTGAATAAGGCCAAGTAAATTTATTGAGAAAGTTGTTGCACATTTGAGTTTGTTGTTTTGTTGTTGTTTTGTAGGAGCATCGGCACTAGCAAAGTGACTATACTGGGATACGGGCTGCTCACGACGGACGCACGCCCCCTGCTGGAGGCCCTGAACAAGCAACGATTCGACGTCATCCTCGTGGATGAATCCCACTACCTGAAATCTCGCAACGCAGCTCGTAGTAAAATATTGGTGCCAATCATTCAGAACGCCAAGCGTGCCATCCTTCTAACTGGCACCCCGGCGCTGGGCAGACCAGAGGAGGTACGGTTTCCTCCAAATCTGTTTGTCATTTGCTTTGATTTATTAAGCCATTTGGTAATATGCAGCATGGTTTTGTTTGAGCTAAACCAGGAGGAGATCTTGTCATTAGCTGACATATTTCCCATCCTCCAGTCATCGCTCATGTCACCCAAAATTGCGTGTACGATAATATAATAAGCTAAAAGTTTTGATAAGTTTCCCCTGTCAATATTACCACTAAGTTTTATTTTACTATTGTACTCACTATAAAATTATCTGATTACTACATGAAGTTCTTGTTCCTGCGCAGCACATTAGTTTACGTTAGGAATAAACATTTATAGTCATTCTCATTTCTTTTGTAAAGTGACAGCTTGAAATTTGTCATGCAGTTACTATCTTGCTGGTCTAATGACCCGCTCGCAGCAAAATTAAATTAATCAATCAAACAAGAGATAATTTTCAACATTTATCCTTTTATATGATGCAGCAACCCAGTGTTGGATATTTTAGCCCATTTCATGTGGTTTTATCCTCCTTGTTCCGTTTACCTTGATATTATGCTGGCGTGGGTGTTTTTGTAACCCAGTGACCTCTGTTGAGACGGACTATCAATGGCAAGGGTGATGTGAGTAAAAATGAGGGGATTTTAAGTGATTTTAGAGCCACGGCTCTGAATGAGAAGGAAGAGAGAGAGCTCTCTTTTTCACAGGTCTCAAAAGCACAAGTCTCATCTCTGCTGTTATTACTCTGTCCAGAGGTGTGCCAGTAATATTTGTAGTTTCCACAAACACCCTTGTCCTCACACTGTCTCGCTCTGTTCCCGTCTCTCTCTCTTTTTTTTGCCCTGTCTTCTTATTTTTTACATTGTCTGGGTCTTTGCTTTCATGTCACAATCTGTAACTCTGCCATGCTGGTTTTAGAAATGCAAGAACCAGGCTGCTGTATTCTAGTAGATTTTAGTCAGAGTGGATTAATTTAAAGGAATAATTCACCCCCCAAAAAAATGAAAATTCTATCATCTTTTACTCACCCTCAGGTTTTTCCAAACCTGTAGAAATTTCTTTCTTCTGTTGAACCCAAGATATTTTGAAGAATACGGCTAATGAAATGGTTAATAGTCCCCAATGGCTTCTATAGTGCAGAGAAAAATATTTTTCAAAATATATTCTTTTGTGTTGAGCAGAAGAAAGAATTGGAACAACTTGAGGATGAGTAAATGATGACAACTTGGTGAACAATCACTTAAATTGAAGTTAAACTGATGGTACAACAATATACTCATGTGTGAATTGTGTGTGAATTGTTCAAATATTTAAACATTGAACATTTATCTTTCTATACATCTCCAGTGAACAAAAAACATGGCTAGTGAATTCTGGTAGACCTTGGTCAGGGTGGATGCTATATTTAGTTTGAGGTATATGAAAATGACTCTGTAATGATGTGTTGTGATGTGTACACAAGTGTCGATCGCTCACTGAAAATGTTTTATTTCCTAATTTTTAGTTCAGCTTTTCTGTAAATTGTTCGTAGTCTATTCTTGCAAATCAAGTGGATTTCTGTGTAAATTGTCTTCAAACTTTTCTTATGAGCAGAGATAATTTGTGCAAATTGTTCGGAAAGCCATTCTTAAAAGCAGGACGAATTTGTGCAAAATGTTCATAAACGATTATTAGTTAACGATTAAAGAGTAATTTTTCTCTGCAAATCATTCATAAAACCATTCTAACAAGCAAAACGCATTTGTGAAATATGTTTGCCAAACCATTCTTACCAATTTTTTAGCAAATCATTTTGTTATGAGCAGAGCAAATTTCTCAGCAAAATGTTTGCAAAGCCATATGAGCAGAACAAACTTTGTCCGCAAAGTAATTCTTAAGAACAGAACTCATCTTTGTGCAAATATTCACAAAACCATTGAATATTACAAATTTCATTTGTGAATCATTTACAAAATCACTCTTACAAGCAGAGAGAATGTGCAAACTGTTCGGAAAACGATTCTAACGAGCTGAACTAATTTCTTTGTAAATTGTCTGCAAAGTCATTCTTAACAACAGAACTAATGTTTGTGCACATATTTACACAACCATTACGAAATTCTTTTGCAAATTATTTACAAAATCACTTTTACAAGCAGAATGTGCAAACTGTTCGTAAAACCATCCTAACGAGCATAACGAATTTCTTTGCAAATTGTTCGTAAAACCATTCGTACAAGCAGAATGAATTCCTGAATATTTCTCAGAAAATTGTTCACAAAACTACTTATGAGCAGAATTAATTTTAATGCAAATTGTTCACAAAACCATTCTTATGAGAGAGGCGAATTTCTGCAAGAAGTTTGTAAAACCATTCTAACAAGCAGAGCAAATTTCTTTGCAACTGCTTGTTAGATGATCTTTGTGCAAATTCACAAACCATTACAAACAGTACAAATTCATATTTAAATCATTAACAAAGCCATCACAAGCAAATTGTTTGTGCAAATCATTCTCAAAACCATTATAAACAGAATGGATTCCATGTACAAATAATTTGTAAAACCATTCATATGAGCAGAACAAATCTGTAAAAAAAAAAAAAAAAGAACAGCCCACATTTCTGAGTAAATGGTTCATAAAAACCATGTTTTATGTAAAGTGTTACATGTACTTCAATATGAATGGTTTTCCAAATGTTGGATATTAAATTCATTCTGCTCGTGTTTTATGAATGAAGCCCATTTAACAGACTGCAGTTCCACTCCTCACAGCCAGTTTTATTCTCGTTATATTAAATATTGTGTTTACTCCCACTAGTTTTTATTGCTGATCTACCCGTCACTGATAGCCAGTTAATTGACCGATACATTATTCAGGAAATACGAAAGGCTTCATTTTGAAGGATGCTACATTCTGTGCACTTTCTTGGTACACTGTGAGAGCTGCTGTTTTCTTTCTTTAAAATGTTCACTGGACAAAAGCATTGCCAAAATGTACATCATTGCATACGCAAAGACCTCTCAAGATGACTCTTGTGTGTATATTATGGGAGTCTCGACCTCCATTGTTCTTCTAATCCCTTTGAAACGTCTATCTGATCTTCTTATGAAGGATCCGCACAAGGGTCTCCGAGTACAAATTAATCTACCGAGGAGTAGACTCGGAAGCGCACACACAAATTCCTGTCAATCATTCGTATATGCGGCAGTAAATATAAAACATTCATAATGAAATCTCTCACAGACACGCGCACACACATTTAAGATAGAAAAGGTCTCATTTCAATGATGGTACCTGAGGATTTTGGTGAAGTTAGGCGGATATAGTGTTTTAAGTGTGTTTTATGAATGAGTAAAATGTTTTTGTGTGCAGGTTTTTCGGGGCCAGACGGCAGTGGGACTGTCGCGGCGCGTCTCATTTGGACGAATTACACCAGCGTCTGAGCGAGATTATGATTCGCAGACTCAAGAATCAGGTGCTGACTCAACTACCACCCAAAATACGCCAACGAATCCCCTTCGACCTTCCCAAAGATGCTGCCAAGGTATGCAGTAAACGTTTCCAAGCAGCTTCACAGTTATAGAATATAAAAGAATACGGTTACCGTGGTCAGTACCATGTTTTGTCTTTTGTAAATGTGCCATGCTAATAATGTTTTACTTTATTTATTAGTATTATTTTATTTATTTATTTATTTACTTGCTTAAAATTTATTTTAATATTTTGTAGTATCATGATGTTCTTGGAAGTCAGCTTATATTATTAATTATAGTAAATTAATACATTTAAGTTGATAAGTAATAATTCTATATAAATAAACACATTTCATTAAGTTATGAATTGACTTTTTATTTATACGTTTTACTAGTAATTCAATTGAAAATACTTTAAATCTAAAAATATAAGGAAAAACACTTGCATCAATCAAAAAAAATAGAAACAATAATGATTACAAAAATGATTTACAATCAAACATTAATTTATACAAACATAAAACATAAGTAATACTGTAAAATGCTGTAAAATTGAAAAAAGTTAAAAACACTTGAATAAAACAAAAACGATGATTACATGAAAATAAGACTTTTTTCTAATTTATATATTGATTTTTTTATGACTTTTATACATGAATTTTACTAGTAATTAAATTAATACCTTTAAACAAAAATATTTAGAAGGATAAACATTTGAATAAAACAAATTATATATTTTTATACATCATTTCTACAATATTTTTATACTGTACTATCCTTTATATTATTTTGATATTTATTATAATTAGAATTGTATAATTTTATGATTTTTTTTTTTCAAAAGTATACTATACATTAATCTTACTAGTAATTAAATTGATAACAAAAATCTAAAAATAGTTAGAAGGGGAAAAACATTTGAATAAAACACAAGAAAAACAATAATTACAAACACTTTTTTGATCATTTCTGTATCTGTATTCTGATTTAGTTTTTTTTTTTCAGAAGTATACAATAATTTTACTAGTAATTAAATTAATAATACCTTTAATCTAAAACTAGAAGGAAAAACATTTGAATGAAACCGACTAAAAAATAAACAATGATTACGTAACTTTTTTAAATAATTTCTGAATTGTGTTTGTATACATTACTTTTATTAGTAATTCAATTAATACATTAATGAATTTAAAAATAAAAAAGCTTGCATAAAAGAAAAAAAAATCTATATTAATTTAATTTATTAAATTCATTTTACTAGTAATTAAATTCATACTTGGAAGGGAAAACATTTGAACAAAACGAAAAAATCGGGGGTTTCATAAAAAAAATTAAAAAATTGCAGTTTCTTATGTTATCAATGTCATCGATATCATCTTCTCCAAATATTTTTTTCTGTATTGTCTCTCTCTCTCTTTACATTTTTTACCATCACTTGTTCTGAACTAACAGAACAAAAGCAGGTAAATATAGTGATTTTCCCCAGTACAACCGCCCCGTTCCTGTTGCTAGGCAATAGTATCCGATTAACAGAAATTATCATTTCATCTCACTTGTCTCTGATCACTCTCTTTTATTTCCACATCTTTTTTTCTCTCCTTTGGCAGCCGAGCGAGCTGCCAGCATGTTATTCAGAGCGGAATGGACATTAGTAATCATCACATTCTGTTCCGATCCGTCGCGCTTAGCGAGACTCGGCTTATAATTGCTGCGTCGTCTAAAAAAATAAAAAAAGTAAAAGGTGCTCGTTCCTCACGTTATTTCATTTTCATGTGAACTTTCTGTGGACCAGGGCAGCAGTGTGTGAGAATCCTTCAGTCTGGCTGACGATAAAGCCGTTTTTTCCCTCTATATCTCCAGCAGGCTCTCGTTTTCCTTGCGATTATTTGGTCTGTCTGTCTCTCCGACTGTCTGTCTCTCTCTCTCTCTCTCTCTCTCTCTCAGAGTAATGAGTGTGTGTGGGCAGGAGTGCTTGTACAGCAAGTTTTGAGTGTGTGTGTGTGTGTGTGTGTGTGTCAGATTTCAGAAACACAAAGAGCAGCTCACCTGCTGTAGGACCTCATAAATCATCTGCTGTCAGCACACACACACACGCTCTCTGTCTAACTAGTTTACACACAGCGGTCCAGGGGACAGATGTTCTTTCACTATAACCCAAATCTCACCAGATCACTTTTAAAATTAACGACCTGCGTTTTAACGAACGGTTGGGCGGAGCAAACCCGCGGCCCACGACTCGCTAGCTGACCCTCACTGCCCAATTTACACGTTTATATTTACGTTCGGCAAAGCTAGCATGAGGTTATTTACAAACTTCAGTTTGTTTCTGGTTGTTTTGGTTAGGAAAGGCATTTGTTGTTCTGTGTGCTGACGTTTGGTTGGTTTTCGGTTTGTCTAGATGTGAAACAAACGGAATGAAGTACAGCTAAATGAGTTGAGTGGAAGTCTTTTGTATTACAAAAACGTATATATTTAATTGCACCTTTCATAAAATACAGCGCAAAATATTTCACAGGTCCGAATATGCTGTAAAAACAAGAAGAAGAAAAAAAAAAAGCACAAATAATGACAATAAGCATAGAAATTATTTGTTTTAAATGATTTCTTCCACAATTTTAGGTTTAAATGATAATACTGCTGTTTGAAAATGTGAAAAGATTCATGTTTTTAATGTTTATATTAATATTTACACTACAAAAAATCTATTAATCTATACTATCTATCAGTCTGTTGCTACATAGTTATCTGTTTGTCTATCTACAGTATCCGTCTCTGTCTAGTCTATCTATCTATACAGTATCTATCTATCCATTTATCCATCTATCTATATATTCTATATTCATCCATTTATCTATCTATCTGTCTGTCTGTCTATTATCTGTCTGTCTATCTATCTATCTATCTATCTATATATCTATCTATATTATCTCTATATCTATCTGTCTCACTCTCTTTACATTTGTCACCTCATTATCAGTGTTATGTTATACATTGTGAAGCATATAAAGGAGCTCTGGGCTGAATAATGGTTGTGTGTCTTTCTCGCGCTCCGTTTCCTTCATTCACTACTTGACTTCCTGTCAGTCTGATGTCCAAACCCTGGCAGCACCTCTCGGGTAGTGCAGGCGGATCTGCATTTGTTTTAGGGGCAGAGCAGCAGTGTGTGTGTGTATGCCCGCAGGAGATTTATAGCGCCGGTACGGTGTGTTTCCATCTTCCACTGCTGCTGTCACTGTAGCGCTATAATTGGGCAGGTCACATGACCCAAGGAGTCATTCTGCAACTTCAGGGAATTGTGTCTCCTTCCTCTCGCTCCCTCTACCCCTCACTTTCTCTCGTTCACACTTCATCTTTCTTTATTTTCTGTTTTTCTTGCTGCTTTTTGCCAAACACAGGGAAAGTAGGACAGTTTACGATATCATTAATTGTGCTGCCCTTTATGGATTCACTTTCTCTCTTTCTCACAGGAAGCGAGTGCTAGTTTTGAGCGGTGGGAGAAACTGATGAGCTCTGAGAGTGAGAATCAGTTTGTGGAGGTGATGAGTCTCATCACACACATGTATAAGCAGACTGCCATTGCCAAGGTAAAGAGTGTGTGCAAAATCCTCAAGATGTTTATTTCTCATTTCACGTCGCCCTAATTTTCTAAAATGGCTGTAGATCTTGATGCTGTGGGAATTTGTGTACTTCCTTTTTTTTTTTTTTTTTTAATTTGGTTGTTTTTTATAGATTAATTAATTAATGAATAAATACAATTTAGTTTAGTATATAGTTAAGACTTACAAGTTAACTTATTGAAAATATACCCAAGTACTAAAATAATCGTTACTGAGATTGAACTTGTTTTTCTTGTTTACTTGTGTTTATGGTGTCTGCTTTAGTTAATCGTTTCAGAGTGGAAGCGGAACGGAGCAGCAAATGATTATTTTGCATATAGATAATTAAGCCTGTGTTTAGAACAGGGTTATTTTAGTTTAAGACTAAAAGCATAAAACAAAACCACACACACATTTTTGTTACTTAAAATAAATGTCAACTTAAAAAAAAAAATATATATATATATATATACTAGAATATAGACATATTAAAAAAAAACACTGCTAAAATAACTAATAAATTACTAAAACCTTAACTAAAATGAAAATAGAAAAATAAAAACTGTTTCAAAATATTAATAAAAAATAACTTGATACTAAAAATACCACTGGTTTGGAACCAGAAAGATTTTTTATTTATATAATTTTATTTAGATTTTTTATTACAAAAAGCACATTTCTCTCCATTTCACATTACTGTAATGGGAAAAATATGACATTTACATGTCAAAGTATGTATGCATCATGGTAGTAATTGTTATAGTACCTTCAATGTCTGTTAATTTTTAATTTAAATATATTATTTTTAAATTTTTAGTAATTTTTTTATACATATATAAATATTTATATATTATATTTTTTATATTAAAATACTGAAAATCACTATTAAAAATAATAGCAATTACTTTTTAAAAAATGTTTACGTAATTTTTAGTAATGGAAATTTGTTTAATTGTTTATTGAAAGAGTAGACAGACAGACAGATAGATAGACAGACAGACAGATACTGTAGATAGATGTGATAGGTGTTCTAGGTTGTTTCTAACATGTTGCTAGGGTGTTTTGGGTGGCTGCTAGGTGAAAAGTCTAGTCTCTATATGTGACTTATGTCCCTCAAAGCAAAGAAATTTGGGTCTCTTTTTTTTCATCAATCGGGCAAAAATCATAAGCCTAAACTCTTCTGAAACCTCAACAACCCTTCCTGTAAACCAAAACATTACTGTACTAGATCCACCCTAGCATCCGAGTAAAAGAAAAGTCAGCCAGCCAGCCCTCATTTCAACTTCATCTCTTTCTCCGAATGCCATCAGAATAACAGCCATCTGCAGCGAGTTTCCCTCCTCTAACGATGAGGGACAGCGTGAAACCGCCGCTAACGACCACCATGGCAACCGGCCCTTCTGTTCTCCACATCAAACACCGCCGCATTGCCATGGGAACGAGCTCCGGGAGGGCCAGACCGCCGTCGCGCCGACCTTAACTCTGACCTTTTTGATCGGCCGACATCTTTTCCTGCAGATCTCGCACTTAACAAGGTGTTTTTATGAGCTCCTGCCGCAACTTTCGTGGCTTTTTGCATCACTCACACGAACTTTAACATCACAGTTCAGAGAAAAAAAGCGACTTTGCACAGGTTTGTCGTAAAAAAGCAAGACTGTTCATTCCGTTGGGAGTTTTAGACGTTCTTTCTTCTCGAACGATTTAAGCTACGACCACTTTAATATCGTCCTCCTGAGCACAGCGTGTGTCTTGAATGAAGCTTTCCAGCGTGTGTATCAAAACAGCGCGAGTGTGAAAGCAGTGTGTGTGTTTTTTAATTTGTCAAACCCGTGTGCTCTGGTCCCCGCTGCTCTTGTCCTCTCTGCTCTTTCATTTATTGTTTGCCACTGAGACGATATCCTCTCTCTCTCTCTCTCAGGGCAGAAATGTGCGGTGTCAGGAATGGTGTCGCTTTTTGTAATCGTTGTTTTTGCCAAGCGAAAATGAGTGAACCGGAGCCACCGCGCACACGCGTACACTTGAGGCTGTAAAAAAAAAAGCCTCCACGCTCCCTCACAGACAGTTTCTGGCACCAATTAGGCGATATTAAAAAGGCAAAACTCTTCAGTAATGAGAAACCCGAGAGCAGCTTTGAAACTCTGGAAAAGAGGACTGGTTTCCGGCAAATGACTTGGTACGCTGTTCGTTTAACAACTACGCTAACCATAACGGGCGTTAGCCGACGAGTTCATCTCGCAGTTTAGGGATTTTGAGGAGATTCATGTTTTTTTGTTTTTTTTTGGAGATGGAAAAGCAGGTCTCACTGGATGAAAGGCGATTTGGGATTAAAGTGGCGAAACAACACTGTTAAATGCAGTAAAATTGCATTAGCACTCGTGGCAGATTGCAGTTATGAAGCCCAGCAACAGCACTATAATAAAAGACACTTGGGTTTTATTAGTAAGTACATTTATAGACTAGATTTTTACAGAAGAAAACTATTAGGGCGCTCCCTCACAGACAGTTTCTGGCACCAATTAGGCGATATTAAAAAGGCAAAACTCTTCAGTAATGAGAAACCCGAGAGCAGCTTTGAAACTCTGGAAAAGAGGACTGGCTTCCGGCAAATGACTCGGTGCACTGTTCGTTTAACAACTACGCTAACCATAACGGGCGTTAGCCGACGAGTTCATCTCGCAGTTTAGGGATTTTGAGGAGATTCGTGTTTTTATTGTTTTGTTTTTTTTTTGGAGATGGAAAAGCAGGTCTCACTGGATGAAAGGCGATTTGGGATTAAAGTGGCGAAACAACACTGTTAAATGCAGTAAAATTGCATTAGCACTCGTGGCAGATTGCAGTTATGAAGCCCAGCAACAGCACTATAATAAAAGACACTTGGGTTTTATTAGTAAGTACATTTATAGACTAGATTTTTACAGAAGAAAACTATTAGGAAGGTTGCCAGGGAACTTGCTGGCCAAAAGATCAAGTCAAAAGATTATTTTCTTTCAAAAAAATTTAAATGAATAAATAAATAGTAAAAATATAATAATAATATAAATAAAATAGTTTTTAAAGAAATTAATACATTCTGCAAAGGCACATTGAATTGATCAAAAGTAAATGCATTTGTAATGCTACAAATAATTTTTTTCAAATAAATGCTTTGAACTTTCTATCTATCGAAGAATAAAACGTTTCCACGTTAGTTTATTAGTTTCCACAAAACTATTAAGCAGCACAACTGTTTTCAACATTAATAATAATATGAGCAGCAAATCAGTGTATTAGAATGATTTCTGAAGGATCATGTTATACTGAAGGCTGGAATAATGATGCTGAAAATTCAGCTTTTCATCACAGGAATAAAATACATTATAAAATCCTTTAAAATAGAAAACGGTAATTCTAAATTGTAATAATATTTCCACAATATTACTGTTTTTATTGTATTTTTGATTAAATAAACGCAGCCTTGGTGAGCAAAAGAGACTCAAAAATAAAACAAAACCAAAAAAACTATTTAAAAAAATTAATAAAATACTGATCGCAAACTTTTGAAAAGTAGTGTATATAAAATGAGATGTAGATATAATTTTTTTTAATGTATATATAACGTTGTTTGTGACCATTTGTATCAAATGTAGCATTCGTTCAGAACCAATTTCATGTGACTATTTTTTAGACGTTAGATCTGAAACTTTCAGTATTATAATTAATTTGATACCGTATTAGAATGTTTGACTTTTTAGAATGTTCTAATTTTTTAAATGTTAGAATTCCTAAACGACATTTCCTGGATGGATCACGATATGATTGTTCTCTATTTTCTTCTTTCTCTTTCCATCTCTCTCAGGCCGGAGCGGTGAAGGACTATATAAAGATGATGTTGGAGACCGAACAGCTGAAGTTTCTGGTCTTTGCTCATCATCTCAGCATGCTGCAGGCGTGTACCGAGGCTGTCATCGAGGCCAAGGTGTGTGTGTGTGTGTGTGTGTGTGCGTGTGTGCTGAGACTCTAGTGAAAGCAAAAGTATGTCAGCACCTCAACCCTGTTCATTAAATCAGCCAGCAGCAAAGCCTGTCACACCGCCGTCCCAACACACACACACTGACCCATTCAGAGAGAGAAAGAGAGGTGGATGTTTTTGTGTATGTGAGCTGAATAAGAGATAAGGCCAAAAAAGTGTTTGTGTGAAAGGGAAAAAAACAGAATGAAAGGGCTTGACAGCACTAAAGGAGGTGAAGGAGAGCGTGTTGATTCCCTGGGTAGAGTTCATTCTTTGCTTTAACACATTCCCTCAGTAGGGCACTGGTTCATTCTTATGGCAAAAGAATAGGTCAGAGTCTCGCTGTCAATCAGGTGAGTGTGTGTATATAAACCACTAGTTTAAAAGTTATATTAAAAACAATTTTCATGCAAAAATGTCAATGTTGACATCATTTACTCACCGCTGTTGCTGAAATTCTGAATGACTTTCTTCATTCTGATGAGCAAAATTAGAGAAATTGAGTATTGTGCCATTGGAAAGATTCAAAATGATTTATAAAAGTATCATAAAAATAGTCCATACGACTCGTGTGCTATTTTTCAGGTCTTCTGAAGTCCTCTTGATATCCATCCTAAACTCTTTGATAGCATTTCATGAAGTAACGATGTCCAATTCATGAAATAAATGGTTCTTTTGAGTTGGATCTTTGAGAGAGTTGAATTTGAGAAATTGATCAGGGCTGCATTTCCAAAAAGCATCGTAAGCCTAAGTTGATCGTAACTCCATTGGTTTCAATGGGTCTACGATGTCCTTAAGCTTACGATGCTTTTGGGAAACGCAGCCCAGTATGTTTGTAATCAAATCAATCTAACTGATTTTGTGAACTGAATCAACTGATTCAGTAATTTTTCTTTTGGTAAAAAGTGATTTGAGTTCGAGAACCTGACCAATTCAGTTTATAAATGAATAGTTCAGACTGATTTTGTGAACTGGATCAACTGATTCAGTAATTTTTCTTTCGGTAAAAAGTGATTTGAGTTCGAGAACCTGATCAGTCAGGTTTGTAAATTAATTATTCAGACTTTTTTTGTGAACTGGATCAAACGATTCAGTAATTTTTCTTTCGGTAAATGTGAGTTGAGTTTGAGAACCTGATCGATTCGGTTTGTACATGTAAATGAATCATTCGGACTCATTTTGTGAACTGGATCAAATGATTCAGTAATTTTGAACATGACCAATTCAGTTTCTAAATGAATTATTCAGCCTCATTTTGTAAACTGAATCAAACGATTCAGTCATTTTTCTTTTAGTACAAGTGAGTTGAGTTCGAGAACCTGATCAATTCGGTTTGTAAATGAATCATTCAGACTGATTTTGTGAACTGGATCAAATGATTCAGTAATTTTGATCCTGACCAATTCAGTTTGTAAATGAATCATTCAGACTCATTTTGTGAACTGGATCAACTGATTCAGTAATTTTTCTTTCAGTAAAAAGTGAGTTGAGTTTGAGAACCTGATCAACTTGGTTTGTAAATGAATCGTTCAGACTCGTTTTGTGAACTGGTATCAAGTAATTCAGTAATTCCTTCATTTCAAAGTCTGGTTTATAAACTAATTATTTTGAGTGGTTTTATAATCTGGATCAAACGATTCAGTCATTTTTCTTTATATTAAAAAATTTAGACATGAATTAATATTTATATTTATTATATATTCTATTCATTTTATAATATTTATTTAATTATAAAAAAAATTTAAAAAGCATGGATTTACCAAGAAATATCAGGTGATTTCCAGGCCTGAAAAAGTCATAGAAATTAATTACATTTTGAAGATTATGGAAACAGTATGGACATAAAAACTATGGTTTATTTAAATTGAGATGTATTTATACATTAAATCATTTGGTCCATTTCACAAAACCAGACTTTCAAAAATCTTACTGATCAGGTTCTCAGAATCACCTCACTGAATCGATGATCCAGGTCTAAATAATTCATCATAAACTTTGGTGTGACTCAGACTTCGGTGCACTTCTGAATGGTATCGGCCCAAAACTTGCATTGCATCACTTGACAAATCCATTTTTGTTGTCTAACAGACATTTCATCAGAGCTGTTGATTCATCTTTTACCACGATTCATTCCTCTTGTGCCTGTTCACACAGCGGCACGCTGAAAACACTTTGCACCCTAAAGAGCGCGGCTGGTTGCCGACACGGTGTCTTCACAGATGTCTCACTGTTTTAATGAGAGCTTGTTTTGTCAATTTCCTCTTCTTTTTGGCTTCCAGCCCCCTCTTTTCCTCCATCTCTCTCTCACTTTCTTGTTTCGCTGCTCTCTGGCCAGACGTTTGATCCCAGACACTGTGAAGATTTTCTTCGGCTTTTTCTTTTTTTATCTGTCCTGCCGTTAATTGGTGCTTATGAATCTTATGGGGGAAGAGGGGGCCTCGCACCAGCAGGTGTGATCGCACGCGCTCCGACGTTCTCACACCTGTCACGCTCCTCGCACCCCGAGCGAGAGATGGGAAGTTAGGTGAGAAGCTAAAATTAACACGGGTGCGATAATTTCTGAAGTTGAACGAGGCAGAAAGAGAAAGGTGTTGTACACTGCTTCACCTGTGTTTTACAGCTGTCAGATGATGGTAGGAAGATAATAATGCCAAAAACGTACTTGAAACGCACTAAAAAGTTGCCAACTGCCAACTCTGGATGCGTCACATTCGCAGTAAGTTTTGACTTGAGTGCATTAATGCTCTCTGAACAATCACAGATCTGCAAAACTCAGTCTTTATTGCGTCAGTCGATGGTTATGAGTTTTGTTACTTCTCACAATGCTTTTAGTTGGAAGAGATTTTGATTTAAAGGTGCAATTTTTGCCTTAATTACAAAGCTTTTACGCATTGAAAGAATGAAAATGTTAAAAACCTAAATTTACTTTAGACTCTCTTCTTTCCGCACTCTTTTCCAGGCTACTTATATCCGCATCGATGGCAGTGTTCCATCTGCAGAGAGGATCCAACTTGTGCATCGTTTTCAAAATGATCCAGACACGCGTGTGGCCATACTAAGTATACAGGCAGCTGGACAGGTAAACAATCTTGTAACACCTTATGAACATTGTACTGCTGTTTGTAAATCCCCACACAACTTTGTAATAGTTCCTTGTAACATCCATATTTCTTGTAACACCCACTCTGTTCTTCTTTACGCTTCATGCAAGCTTGTAACACCCTAACATTGTAATCATAAGTATGTTTTGAAATGCTTTATACAGCCTTGTAACATCTCCGCTGCGTAAACTTTGGTAACATTCCACTGTACAGTAATCATTTTAAGTTGAAAATGCTTCAAACAACCATGTAACATCTCCACCTTGTAAACATTGTAACATTAATTTACATAAATATATCACATAACCTCGTAATCATTTTAACATTCCTCTATATAGTATGTCTCAACCTCGTAATACTCAAGCTCAAAATCACTAAGTTGAAAATGCTTCAAACAACCTTGTAACATCTTCACTTCATAAACATTGTAACATTCGTCTACAAGACCATGTAACAGTCAACCTCATAATCATTTTAACATACCTCCATACTGTATGTCTCACAACCTCGTAACACTGAATACTGTAAAAAAATGTCTGTCATTCATTCATTGTAACACTTAACCTTATAACAAGTTTTAACTCATTACAAGTTACTTTGTTTGACATAACCTTGTGAAATCTCCAACTCGCTAACATTGTAACATTCCTCTATGTAGTACGTTACAAACTCGTAACACTGAAATATTAATGCTCCCAAACATTGAATATATCATACTGTTCTTCTTTACACTTAAAGCAGACTTCTAACATCTTAACGTCACAAACATTGTAATGTTCCTGTTTGTATGACACACAACCTTGTAACACCCTGATGTAATAAACTACACAGCCTCATCACACTAGTACTTTGTAAACATTGAACTGTTCGTTTATACTTCTCAAACACTGTTGTTCATAGCATTTCACAAAACCTTATAAAACCCCAACCTTGTAAACATACCTTGTAGCATCTCAAACACTTAATCATCATTCGACCTTAATGTTTTAAACAACCTCATAACACCTCAATCTTGTTACATCATAGTGTTATTCTTTATTCCTCACGCAACCTTGTTGTAACACTCTCAAGTGTGTCAACCTTAATAACTACATTTTTCGATTAAATGAAATATTACTGTCATACTATATGATGTATTCCATTCTTCTATATAGTATGTCACAACGTCGTACCACTCAACCTTGTAAACACTGTACTATTATTTGTTACACTTTACACAATTTTGGAAACGCATTGTTATTATTTAAACTAGGGATGCACCATATTAGATTTTGCCACTATCATTTTGGCCGATAGCCGATACCGATATATTTCGCTTAGTTTTTGAAACAACACCAAGTATCTCCTGTGCGGAAATTATAAAAAAAAATTTAAATTTTGGTTAGTTTTGAGCAAAAACTTATTTGTTAGAAGTAATAAACATTATTAAAGTTTTTTTATTTAATGAGAGTACATTGAAAGCCTTGAAAATAACTTTTTTCCTCAGAAGATGCAGTTGAAGGCTTAAGATTTTATTTGTAGATTTAACATTAAAAGAGCTGTAAAAAAAATTCTAAAAATCTTTTAGAGCTCCTTGTATTTAAGTTTTCATAATCCATTTGGAAAAATATTACATATTACTGAATAAATCTGTATATATTAAGTTATTTAATTTACAAGTGTCATGTTTGGGATTTTTATTCATGTAAGGTATAGCTTCTGACTCAAAACAATCTCGTGATTTTATGACATTGATACTGCTTTATTTATTCAGAAATACAAGTAACTTAATGTCATTTGTTTATTTTACTTTTATTTATTATAAAGAGGCCAACAGCGACCCCTAAGTAAATAAATCCAGTAAGGCATCAGGACCCGGGTGAGTCCTGCCCAGGAAGCTGCCGCTGCTGCACTACTAGAAAGTGTTGACACTCTCGCACACCGGATGCGTCGTTGTGTACGTGCATTCTCAGATTAAATGCGGCAATCCAAAATGTGAATCAAATCATCATTCAGACAAAAGTTTGCTTCAAGAACGAACACACTGCTGACGTGATTTTATCACGATCACACCCTGAGCAAATGTGAGCTATTAGTCTTATCAAATTTTTTATTTTTTTCAAATCGACTGATGGCGATGTTTACATTTTAAGCCTTTATCGGCCAATTCCAATAACATTTCGATATTATTGTACATACCTAATTTAAATATATCTTACTTTGTAACACCTCAACCCCTGATAAATGTATACATCACACAGTCTTGTAACATTCAACATTATTTGCATTGTACTGTTCTTCTTTGTAACACCTGTTGTTCGTAACATTTCACGCAACCGTGTAAAACCTCAATCATAAACTTATGGCATGTGGTTCAGACGTTACACGGTACGTTTAATCACGACACCGTCCATAATGTTTCACACAACTTCAATATCGTAACATCTCACTGTTCTTTATTTTTCTCAACCTTGTAACACTCTAAAGCATGTCAACCTCAGTAACTTAACATGCAAATATTGCTGTCATACTGTATGTAACAGATGAATCTCCTTGTGCTCAGGGTCTGACATTTACGGCTGCGTCTCACGTGGTCTTTGCCGAACTCTACTGGAACCCAGGACACATCAAGCAAGCAGAGGACAGAGCACATCGCATAGGGCAGACCATGACGGTACACATCCACTACCTCATCGCCAAAGGAACCTTTGACACCGTCATGTGGGCCATGTTAAACAGAAAGGTAGCTCGATCTTCAGATAATGAAAAAATGTCACCTTCAGTATTCATAGATGCACTCAAAAAGTTTCACTGTCATTTTGTGAACATTTTTATAGATTACTTTAAATGTACAGTTTTGAATTGTTGCGAACATAGTTTCCAGACTTGCCGAAGTACTTCTAAAATAATCAATATGTAATGTCTTGGGACTAAATTAAGTGGCAACACAATATCTACTGTAAACTTTGGAGAGACTTGTTTGGAAAATGTGCCTTCATTTTCTGTGATTCTTACAAATGATATTGGACAGGAAACGGTTACAGGCAGCGCTCTGAACGGAAAGAAAGAGTATTTGAAAGCTGAGGTGGGAGACGAAGAGAAATGGGACTTTCTGAACTTTGCTAAGGCATGGACACCAAGCGACACCAAGAAAGGTGACTCTGAGGACGACAAGGATGGAATTTTCTTTTCTCATGTACGTAAACGTTTCATTATTGTTATAAATTAAACATAAAATGAGACCACAGTTGTCATGATATCAAAAACAAATATGCTATAGGGATGCACCGAAACGAAAATTCTTGCCTGAAGCCGAAGCCAAACAAAATGAAACACGAACACGGTTTTCCGTGTTTTTTTCCCACATGTATTTTTCCAATTTTCTTCACCATTGCATGAATTAAATAGCCAAAATTGGCTTTTTACTGTTTTGTCTTGCTTTTCAAAGACAAAATAAATTACAAAACAAATTTTTTTTTTTTTTATTTACTTAACACTGGAAACATTTTTACATTCTAGCAAACATTATAGCAACAAAGCACAATTTAACTTAAAATTAATAAGTTAGTAAAATTATATTTTTTGGCCATTTTTGAGACCCCCTTCTTGAATCAGGCATGTATTTTGTACTGTACAAATAAACGCAGCCTTGCTGAGTAGAAGAGACTTCTTTTAAAACGTTAGAAAATATTATGGATCCCAATTTGAACACCATAAATATTATTTAAAAAAAAATATTAACAGAGCTGTTGTAATTATTGTTATTGTCTAATTTTTTTTATTGTATTTCACAGAACAACAGTAAAATTTCAATACAAGCATTTATAAATGTTGGAGTTCTTGCTTTTTTTCAGCTTTTATTTTGGCGGAAACCTGCAGGAAGACCTCAGTGCTTCTTTTTGTTGACAACAGCAGATTTATAAATGATTCTCATTACGAATTTGCGAAGACGTTTGTCACACGTATCGCATTGTCACATGCCTTGTAAAAATTCATTAAAATGTTACCGAGCAACTGACGAGTAACACTGTTTCAGCCCAGATTTGGACTCTGAACCCTGGCTAACAAGCAGATAGCGCCGTGAGCTCGTGCAGCGCTGTCAGAATGCATGCAATGTGTGTGTGTATTTGAAAACATAACGTTCTGCAGTTTATTTATTATTATGTATTTACTAATTGTTTTAGGCCGTTTTGCAATTTCAATCATCATACAGTAACCTTCCTCTTCTCATCGAAGACATGCGATGCAGTGCTTAACAGTCTCTGGCTGTCGGTGCTTGTAATGATATTAGCGTATTTCTCAGACACCGAAAGAGCTTTTTTGGCTATTTTCGGCCAAATAATTTCGGTTGATGAATATTTGGTGCATCCCTAATATGCTATATGCAAAAATTCAAATATATACATGCAAATTGACAATTAAAACACTAAAACAACATGGAACAGCAGTAACATTTGTTGTTTTCATTATAGCAGATGAAATTACTACTTCGTAATTTTTTTTTCTTGATTGATTTATCATTGCTAGTGACAGAACTGGTACTTTTGGCATTCCTAAACACGACAAGGCTTCCCACGTTTCAGTCGTGGAAACCTGAACCGCACAAAGTGCTTTTCTCTCTGAAGTGTCTTTGGTTTCATCACTTTGCTGTCATGAGATGAAGTTTCTTAGCCTCAAACACTTTGTGTGTCACAAAAATTGTTCTTTTTCTTCCCATCCGCCACAGTTTGAAAGGGAAAAGCAGCACGACATCAGATCGTTTTTTTCCCCCTCTGTGAACAAAGAAAAGAAGAGGAAACGAACCGGGGATTCACCCTCCGACGGATCTCCTCTCGCCCAATTACCTGAGGGGGTGGAGCCTGTTCGGACCCTGGACATCCAGAGCTCTGATTTGAAGGCCGACCAGGGGGAGGACTTTTCTCCTCAGGTGAAGCGGTTTAGGCAGGTTAGCCCCTCGTCGCGACGTGGGGGTAAGAAGAGCCCCCTGTCGTCCTTGTGCGCCCCCCGAAGGCTCTCAGCGGGACTGCAGGCTACGCGCCACAATCAGAAGTGGAACTGTTCGGCATGTACATTCTCCAACAGCGGATTGCTGCTACACTGCGAGATGTGTGAAAGTCCGCGAAATGCACATAAAGGTGAAATCTACACACACAAACGATTGTCTAAAATTTTGTTTTTACTAATGTCAGCATCCTGTATTTGAGCAAACTTATGCAGGAATCTCGTTTCGCACTGTCCGTCCTACGCCTTGAAATCATGTGGCTTGTTGAGGACTTGTGCTGTTAAAATTCAGACTGAGCCATTATTTAACTTGATTTAACTCAAAACTGCTCAGGAAAACTAAGCAAGCACTTAGCAACACCCTTGGCAATCACAATGCTAAAACCATTCAAAACAGCATAGCAACATCCCGACATTATCGCAGTTATGGTACATTTTCTTAATTTATAATGGGGTCTAAAAGTCTGAAATCAGTGGTGACATCTAGTTCACATTTTTTAACTGTAAAATAATAAAATGAAATGATTAAATTAGATTTTTAAATGTATAATATTTATATATTAATCAAACATTTTAATATATATTATATATTTTATGTATGGACTAAATGTAATTTAATAAAAAAATAAAATTAATTTTAATAAAAATAAATTTACTTTTTATTAAATGCATAATATTTCTATATTTTTACTGTTTTTTTAAAGCTTGTAGCATATTAGTTTTAATGAGAAGTTAAACTATTTTAACAATTTAAGAATGTCTTGGTTTGGTTTGTCTTTTGTGTTAATGACGGCAGCACTTGAATCATAAATTTATTAGTAAATAAATAAAATAAATAAATGTATATATTTTTCTAAACTAAATTTTGTACTAGTTTAAGTAAATATATTTTATACATATACAGTATATATACACTGTATATATTAGTGCTGTCAAACGATTAATCGCATACAAAATAAACGTTTTGTTTACATAATATATGTGTGTTCGGTGTATATTTATTGTGTATATATAAATGCACGTACATAAAATTATATATTTTGAAAATATTTACATGTATTTACATATATTTACATTCATATAATTTATATTATAAATAAATATATTTTATATATAAACGTATTTTTCTGAAATATATACATGCATGTGTGTGTATTTATATGTACATAATATATATTATGCAAAAACTTATTTTGGATCGTGATTAATCGTTTGGCAGCACTAATATATATATATATATATATATACCTACACTCACACACATACACGTGTGTGTGTGTGTGTGTGTGTGTGTGTCAATTTTAAGCTTATATTTGTCAGTATAATAGTTAATGAGAAGTTAAATATATAGATAGAAAGATCATTTTTTAAGCTTATATTTGTTAGTTTAATAGTTTTAATCAGAAGTTAAATTATTTTACCAATTTAAGAATGTCCTAGCATTTTATTTGTCTTGGGTTAATCTTAAATTATATATTAATAAATAAATATACATTTTTATACATTTTATTTTATTAACACAATTTAAATTAATTATAAATTTAAAAAAAAAAATTTCATGAGAAGTTTAACTATTTTAACAGTTTAAGAATGTCTTAGTGTTTGTCTTTTGTGATAGTGGCAGTTGCACTCAAATCTTAAAACGCTGTTTATTTCCAGGTTTAAATTAGATTTTGAACCCCAGAAGTTTGGTCTGGGACTTTTGGACCCCTCTGTATTTGACAGGCTTTATAAAGGCACGGCTGATCCAGGGCACTGATCCTCAGTAAAGCGATGTCGAAACCTTCCTCCCCTCTGTTGCCAAACTTACGAAAGAATCCAAATGTGAAAGAGCAACAGGCAGAAACGTTCTGAAGACAAAAAAGGTGTGCACGCTGAACGACAGAAATAGATCAGATTGAAAATGACTCATTATCACGGCCACGGTGAGGCGGAATGCATTTTGGCACCTGTCAAATCAAGAATGCCGCTTTCGTTCAGCGTCACCGCTGGAAAACTTTGTGAAATCTTCGTAAGCTTTGTTTTCGCCATCAAATCCAATGCCATCGATCAGATCGTCAGCCTGTCTTCTGACAACAGCCTGGTGATGCAAAATCAAACACAGAGATAGAAGCACATACCAGGCCAGCTGCTGCTGTCTTATTACACACGTACATCTGTGTGTTTGTGTGTTCGCCCGCCGCTCTGACGCGCATGAAAGCCACAATCTGTACATACATGCACTCAAAACACAACGGATGTGTTTTCTTTGTTCTTTAAAGGAGTAGTTCACCTAAACGAGATCATTTATTTGTCCTCATATCAATTCAAATCTACACTTTTTTCTCCTCGGAACACAAAAATATGTTTAGCAAAATGATCTTGCTGCTCTTTTATCATATAATGAACTTGAGAACTGTTAATAATAATAATGATGATGATGATGATGATAATTTAATATTTAAAAATATATGTAAACAATATATATGTCTAGAAAACAAATTATATATATATATATATATATATATATATATATACACACACACACTAATCTTTCTCTTTTCTCATGGCTTTTCTTTATCTTTTTTAATAAAAGTGTGTGTGTGTATATACGTATATATAATTAAAATATATGTAGTTTATTATTATTTATCTCTGTATTATAATGTATTTGAAACTTTATTTTTCTCATTAATATGATTTTTCACCATGATGTCAAGTTGTTGCTAAGCAGTTGCTAAGGTGTTTTAAATAGCTTTAGCATTAGGGGTGTAACGATTTACTCGTTTTCTCGATGCGTCGATCTTGAAACATGGATTTTTGAATCGTGAATCGTCGATTTCGGACAGTAATCGATTTAAAACGCTAATGAACTGAAACGTTAAGACAATAAACACAATAAATAAATACAATTTATGAATGATGCAGTGCTAATTGACATATAATTTATTACAGTACAGAAACTATAAAATATATATATATTTTACCTTATTCTGTAATAAGGTAATATATTTTACCTTATTCTGTGCAGAAAATTGAAATAATTGTTTGTATATAAAACAATCATAAAATCGCCATTAGGAAAAAATGATTACAAATGATTGATTATTGTCCAGCAGTGTATTTGATTTCTTATAGCAAATTCAAAGTAATAGATAAGAAAATAATTCCTTGTAAAAAAAAAAAAAGAATACATACATAAAATTATTGTATTTGACATTTCTGTCACTTCTGAAATGATGGCTACGCCCCTGGTGTGACAAAATGTTAGCCTAATACTTTTAAAGCTCTTTTTAAAAATCTTGGCTTACATACATTTCTACATATGCCATGTCATGCCATAGCATCATTAAACTAGCATCTAACAATGGACAAAGGTGTTTTTTGTTTCTCTCTAACCTATGGTTCTGTAACCATAAAGGCTGCTGTGTAATTTGCCCCCTGACTAAGCATTTAAAGAATTTAGAGGAAGCATTTAAATAATCCTGTGAATGCACTTAAAGAATGCAGAATCGAATCGTTAATCGAATCGTTCTGAATTTGCAAAAATCGTTCTTGAATCGAATCGAAAACCTATGAATCGTGAATCGAATCGATTCGCTGTCTACCCAAAAAATTCACAGCCCTATTTAGCATGTTTCTATGTAGTTGTTAGGTTTTGCTGAGTGGCGTTTCTATGGCAGAAAGGTCTTTATGGTGGTAGGTCACTGTCACATATTGTGTAATAACTGTAAAACTTTATTAAATGAATTGTTAACTAAAACATAATAAAGCATAGAAAACCTAGGTCAAATGAGTGACTAAACGGCTTAGAAATGCAGATGGCTCTCACATACAGTACAGCATCGCTGTTAAAATACAGCAGTTGCTTGCAGACGCAGAAAACGATCACATGACTGTAGATCAGATACATGCAGCACATATCTGATTAATTTGAAGCGTAAAACAAACATGCGGCGCTGCGTCTCCGTCAAGTCAACATTCACCCCTCAAAGCATGAGTGAAAACCACAGCGACGGCGTGTCAAGACTTCACTTCTGAGAGAAACCAAGCAGCTTCCAGACTCGCAAAATCAGACACCAAGAATTTTGATTGAAACGCTGTCATGGGCAAAGAGAGCATATTTACGTTTATGCTTTCAAAACTTCACTTTAGTCCTCCGGAAACTCCCATCATGCATTAGGTTTTTGTTTTTTCAATTTAGCCTTTATTTAACAAGGCAAGTCACTTAAGAACGCATTCTTATTTACAATAGCCTTTCTTTGTCATTTAAATTTTTTAAAAATTACAGAAAAGAAGAGGAACTTTTTTTAACGTAAAGCATTTAGCTATTTGCCCAAGATATTTATAAATCCATGGTCATAGATGCTGTTATGGTAAATTTGAAGTGGGGGGGGGCTTGCATAATGATTATTTTTGTTAATGTTATGTTAATGATTTTATATATATATATATATATATATATATATATATATATATATATATAATATATATTTTATTTAGAGTTTTTAGAGAGTGGCAGCTGTTTGTCCTATATTTTTATAGATCCACAATCGTAAATTTAAACAATGCAAAAATTTTATTCATTTATTATATTTATTTATTTAATTTTTTTGTTTGTTTATTTGATTGTTTTACTTTAAATTATTAAATGTAAAAACAATATAAATTAATTTTTTAGTCAATTAATCATTTTTCTGGCCCTTATAAATGTACAGACAAAAATAATAATAATAAAAAAATAAAATGTTTATAATAAATAAATAAATGTTTACTATTATTATTATTGTTGATTTTTAGACTATACTGGAGTGGCATTAAGCCATTTTCCATGTACTTTTTATAGGTCTGCAATCAAAATTTTGCAGAAACAATTCATTTCTACTAATATATATATATATATATATATATATACACACACACACACACACACAATTAATTTATTAATATTTTAAAGATTTTCTTATTAAATTTATTATTTTAATGTTTTAATTTTAAATTAAAAAAAAAAATTTTTGTTTGTTTAGTATTTTTTTATTATTATTATTATTTTAAGACAGTTTGTTTGGCCCTGTTGATCACGAGTGTTGTAAATTTGCAGAAATTTTTATTTATTTTTTTTGTCCTCTGAAAAATCCCATCATGCATCATTGAATTCATTTCGACCTTCTGTAAACCTTTTTTTCTTCCTTTTGAAACAGAAAAAAATGAATCCAAGAAAGCGAGCGTTTCTGAACTTGGCAATTTTACCCATTTGCCCTTGCTTTGAACAGATCTGTGGTCACGAAGGTGCCCGTTTACACAACTCATATCATCCAATTTCATGTTTTGAAACCGGTGCATGATCTACATATTATTCCTGGTTTGAACCTTTCAGTATTCGGTTCATCCAAACGAAAAGCGGCGAGTTTTTAGCCATCCGTCCTGGACCGTTACAGATCGGCGGCCACAAAGGTGGCACCGCAGAGCCACTCCAGACAGTGATAAGGGCTCAGATACGCAGCGGGAGCTGTTTTCTGCTAGTGTCTGGCTTTCTTTCGGCAAGCCGGCTTGTTAAGAGACAGCACAGCAGTGGAGCTTTTATTCAGCTTCTCACAAATTCAGCTGACATTTTAGAAGATCCATACGAGACCTTTCAGCGAGAAGGAGAGGGCGAGAAAGAAAGAAAGGGTAATGCAAAGCTCGGAGGGGATGGTGTGAAGAAGAGCGCTAGAATCCGAAAAGGGAAAGCGAACAAGCGAATCAGAGGTGTGGAAATTCATTAGCGGCCCTCGAAGGAAGACAATCGCAATTATCAAACTCCTCCTCAGCCTCGTGGATCCAAATAAACTTCGTCATTATGAACCGAGCGTCCTGTCACGTTTTTGACGATCGGCTCCCTCGGGGAGACGGTGAGACAACAGCTACGAGACAGATAATGCATTTCAGCGCCTCCACAGTAGAAGATGCTTTTCTGAGATGGAAGGCCACAAGGGAGGCTTTAAATGTAGACCGTATTTTTTCCCCCCGCCGTGTCCCGTGGTGCCATATGGCAGAGAGATGTGAAACTGCTGGTCTGAGGGAAGGAAATCAGTCAAACGCAAAACAGACAGCATCTGTTCTTCGCTCTGTGAGCTCCTTCCCGTCAGACGACTGCAGAGAACTGTGACGGCCCTCTGTGGCCCACATTAAAGACTAGTTCAAGAAATGAAAGGAAAATTGAAACATTTACTCACTCCCATGCCGTTTTTGATGCTCGCAAAAAGAGAAATTGCAAATAATGTCCTGGTCGCTCTTTTCCATGCAGTTACAATGAACTCCTGAAGGTGACCGGCCTGCTTAAGATATTGTAAAGACATATTATATTTATTTTGGATTCTATTTATATTTAAATATAATACATTTGTAAATACAATTTACTAGTTTTGTGCTGTAAAATGTGACGATCAAGCTGAAACCGAACTGACGTATGGTTTAAAACAGCGGACCGAGGTTGACCCTATAGATGCAACTCATCTTCTATGTCTCTCTCTCTCTCTCTCTCTCTCTCTCTCTCTCTCTCTC